CACTTAAGTTCTTTCTGGAATAACATGGAGTTCCCGAGTAAGGGAACGCTCAAGCAGCCCTTGGATTGATGGGCTCTCCACGGAAAGGCCTTCTTCTTTTGGGGCCTTATTTCCTTTTTAACACATGGAATCTCTGCGAAACTTCCGCCCAGGGAGTCCCAAATGGGTAATGGGGGACATAAAGAGTGTCCCTGAAACATCACGTGTCGATTTGAGGCTGGCCTGCCTATTTCCAGGAAAATGAGGTGGAAGGCGTAAGGAGGGGCATCCAACAGCAGATGCAGCTCTGCGGGCCAGCACTGCTTACTTCTAGAATGTGACTGGAGTTGGCGATCCTTGTGACCTGTTAGGGAGGGGGAGGGTCTGAAGGGAGGGAGGAAATTAAATGCTCCTTGTAATACACTCACCTTGAGGATTTTCACAACCACTCTCTCATTGTTGGTGATGTTAATGGCCTCAAATACTTCACTATACTTGCCCCGACCAAGTTTTCGAACCAGTTGGTAATCATCCTGATTACTGTGAAAGGCAAAAGTCACACATAAATGCGGCGTATTGGGGTTCACCCAGCCTGCTCCAAACACCACACACTCCATGTGGCGGCTCCCATTAATCAAACACTTGGAAGTGTCCACACTTCACGTCACGACTCATTCCCTACATGCAAGTCCCGACAGAGGTGCCCGGAGCTCGCAGACCGATGGAGGGGTCCCTCTTAAATTGGGGGGTCGGTGTAGGCAGGCGCCACTTCATAGAGGGATCCCAGAGCATCCGGCCCGCGGAGGCCCACGAGGGACCCCTCTTGGCTGTGGCTCCCTGGCCCCTGCCTCACTTCCCCCCCTTACAGGTAGGCAGCGCCGGCTTGGAGAGCTTGGCAGCCTTTTAAAAAATTTTCCTTCCACCCATCCCCATTTAAAATTTAAAGAAAAAAAAAAAAAAAGGGAAGGGGAGCCCTAAAAAGGCCGCGAATCTTAATAGCCCGAAACAACAGCTGTTTCGGTTCCTACCCTAACAGAAGCCCAACGGCGTGGGGAGGACGGGCGGCCCCCTCACGTCCAGGGGGCTCTGCCCCTGCACCCTCCACACGTCCCGGGAAAACCGCATTCCCGGGAGGAAGGGGGCCGCGGGGCTCGCCTAGGGAGGGTGAACGGGGCGAGGGAACGGAGGGCGACCTGGGTGAGGGGCGCGCTGCTCCCACCCCAGCCCCGAGGAGCCGCCCGCCC